ATGTTTCAATAATAAAGAAACATATGAACTTTGATAATCAGTAACAGATCAACGGACATGTGTCCTGCTCTGCAAATACATCAAACAGGGATACAAACGAACAATATACCTGATTGAGGTCAATCCCACTCCCTAGCTCATAACTGGCTAGTTTGCCCTGCTCCACATAGAAACTAATTGAAAGCAAATTCAAGTCTGACTGTGTCATTAGAGGTACATCAAAGCTAAATGAGAAGTCAGCACTTGACTGCACAGTCCCGAGCAGAGATCGAATCAGCTACAATACTTAAAGTGTCCTCTTAGGATCACACTTTGATTAAACATTATATAAGCTTTGTTCTAATGAACTTAAAGGTCCAATATGTAAGATATCTACTAAATTATATCTTACCATGTAATCAGACATTAAAGGTTCTATATGTAACTTTTTACATGTATAAATTGTTTTTTATCGCCCATTAATAAGCGAACGGTTAACTGATGTGAAAAAGTAGATGTTCACTGTCTATCTGTGTTGCCTGTGTAAAAGTTTTACCTGGGTCGTATTTTCCGCGAAAGCTCCAGGAAGTGATGTTATATGTGTGTTCTCGACGTCCTCCTCACTCCGCTCCGCTTACAGAGATCAACAGTACAAACTCCCGCACACTCCCGCTACAGCCAGAGGCCGCCTTCCACACACTTTTATCCGCCCTAAGAGCTCTATAAGGCGGACAAACTCATCACACACTCCCGCTCTCAGCCAGTGCCTGCCGATGGAGTTTGTAGGATGGAGAATGAATCTAATATGGAATCTGTTAGTACAAATAAACAACCGGCCTCAAGCACAAGACAGACTCCTTCACAGACTTTCACATGTGTTTGACCACTTACCTCCTCTGTAAACATTATGCCGGTAAATATCCAGTTTTTCATTGCCGATGATGATGCTCGTTTGTGTACGTACGAGCACGTATGACGAGCACGCAAGCGAGAGCGAGCAACAGGTTACTGGTGCAGTTTACCTAATGGCCTGCTGTGTCACTACAAACGCAGTATTTTTGAAAGTTACATATAGCCCCTTTAAGCAAACATGCTATGTCAAAAGCCTTGACATTTTCAAGTATAAATATTGGAGATACTTTTAAAAAATGGAGAGAGGTTAAAACGCAGAAAGGTTTCGAGCCCGAACACAGAAGCTCCCGTCCGCGACATGGCAACTTGCATGCACATCGATTCTAGGGAGGTGGTGGTGGGGGGAGACATCTCTGTCCAATGTTTTCAAATTTGGACTGTTGAACCAACTTCAACAATAGACACGTAGTGTCTGAGTTACATATTGCTCCTTTAACTAAAGTGTTTAGGTCAAATTAAGTCCATGGTTGGAAGTTACCAATTGTTCAGTAAGCCCTTTTTTAAACAAAGAAGTCCTATGGAGTTTGAAACACAGGCGTTCTCTTGGCAGGAAGCTCAAAGACAGTCTTGAGTTGTTTTTTTGGAGCAAAGCCCATTCGAGGGAGTTGCATTCAGGAAAACTTAACCTTTACTGCATTGGTTTTGGCCTTTAATGTTTTTCTCTTCCAGAGTCTCCCACATTAAGAAAAGCTGTTAAAAGAGTTAATATTTTATACTTTAATCTAGCTAATGCATAACTTCAAAAGGGCACTTTTATATTAAGATACTGAAAAACAATCTCCTCAAGTGGTGCCTATGGTGTTTGAAAGGAGCATAAAGGAATGATCAATACATTGTTTATTTTCTCTTCAGACTTGTGTATCCCCTTTTACATTATTATAAAGAAGAAATCGTTTTTTTTCTTTTTTTACATTTTATTAAAGAAGACAAGAAATTTAAAACATCAGATTAAGAGGGATCTTCTGAGACTTTGTGATTTTTTGCTCCACTGCTTCAATTATTGACTTTGGTCAATTTTGTTTAGCCTAAAGGTTAACCCCACTCACAAATGTCACCACCATTGGGACTTTAAACACTTAATCTATCAACATTTAATCTATTGCCTAAGCAAGGCTATCTGCTGACTTGCATTACAATATTTATTTAAGAGTTTTTTTTTTTATCTGAGTAACCATGGCATCACTGACTTAAACATAAAGCCATGATGTTCTTTGTCATTATGTCCATAAAAACTTTCATTCACTTTATTTTATATAAGTGCATGCAGCCATTCAGCAGGTTAATGTAGCATGTCATTGTGTTCTTAATGTGTTTGGCTCTATGTTGCTCAGAGACAGCAGATGAAAATGAGAAATCTGGCTAATTCACAGAATAATCACATTCTGGATTATGTCTGAATTTGCCTATTTTGTTCTTTGCACAATTCTATAAACAAAACTAGAGTAAATCCAGTAATGTCATTACATATGAACATCAATAGGAATTCGGCAGGGTTAGAGTACAGAAACATAAGAACTCTTAAAGTTCACATGTTTTCAAATCAATGTATTTATAACTGTGGGACAATGTGCCTGTTGAACTCTAAAATTAGATTTAAAAGACAGAAGAGGACACATCACTAAGTTGTAATAAGAAATGGCAGATATTGTGCACAAATTGGTGCATAAAAATTCATCAGAATGCAGGAAAATAAATGTTTGGTGCAAAAAATGTTCTTGGGGAGACCTCCAGACCCCCATTCACCTTATGGTGCCAACTACTGAATGGCAAATATTTAACTTTTTCATAAAGACATGGCTCAGATAGTCATAACGTGTGAACTCAGTAATCTATCAATAGGATAATTGGTTTGGTTGTTCTGGTCAGTAACTTGCTAAATAGTAATCTTCCATCTCTTCTGAATAATTAAACAGTACAAACTTAGGAAAATTAGATTTTGGATACTTTGTTCATAGAAAAAACCTTTCCTCCTCCCTACTTTAATGGATTCTCTACCGCTTATTTGTTTGCACTGTGTGGGTATTTAAACCTCTGTAAGCACTTTTGTCCATCATGCTGGCTGTGAAGGCGTTTGGGCAACATAAACAGCTTACTCCTTCTTGTTGTGGATTCCTATACGTGTGTTATTGGAGAGATAAGAAGCCTTAGTCATTATAGAGAATACAAAAGCAAAGAGATAATATGCATTGAAGTTAACAAGACTGTGAGCAGAAGCTTAAAGTTGGTTTGAGTTTCTTTGAAGAGAAGGAAAAAGGAAAACGTGTTCCTACACCATACTACATGGTTTGTATTATCTGAGCAGGCATGGATTAAGCTATGTGCTCTTTTTACTCTGAGGAAATTAATGTGGCTTTGGAGAGGTGGATGAAGAAAACACAGTCATGTTTGCAGTGGTATGCTTGTTTCATTTAAGCTACATTCCCTTCTATGCTTTGGTTTGTGTATTTTGAGTGTAATTTCCTCTATTAGCTTTGCGCTCTATCATCCATGAAACATTAACATCATGCTGGGGCCTCTTTCTCATCCTCTTTCTGGGCCATTCAAAAACACTGGAGGGGATTTAGTTGTAAATGAGATGCGTTATGGCTGTATTAGCCATAACTTCAGCCAACGACCATCATTCTGAGCGTGTTTTGCAGGCGGAATTTGACAGTGAAGCTGGCTAAGAAAGAGGCAGCGCTGCTGGTCTTGCCTGGCTGAAGGCTTGGAAGAGAAAGCACAGACTGCAGGGCCTCAGGGCAGAAGAGTGATGGTTTATAACAGCGCGCACACACACAAACACACACAAGTACGCAGATCCTTGAAGGCGATCTTAATTGGAGCAGGTGGGAACCCCAGGATTTGGTAATGAGACCATCCTGATGGATTGTTTGCCTCACAAACTGCAGTGTATCCCTCATTGAGAGGCACACATCAGCAGGGGGGGAATGAGTTTTAAATCTGCAGAGAAACCACCCACACGGCCTCTTTCCCAAGATACTGTTATGCAGAGGAGAGGGCAAACATGTGATTTACAGAATGTGAATCAATAAATGAATTCATCATGTTCATAAACTTTATTTAGTTTTGAATAAATCTTTGAAGATTGGATTATATATGGTTTCCCCTACTTTAAACTCATTTATCATATCATACTTCTCCAAACAGGATCCATTTTACAGCTTCAAATCTTCAAGTGAAGTAATGAAGCCGCATCGACAAATTACTATACTTGATGCTCCAAGCGCAGTAATAACAAGTTGTCTCACGATTGGACTGATCTCTTACTAATTACTGCTGTGAAAAGACAGTGGAAGTATCACACTGAGCATCTGAACAGCCAGGCAGAGCAGGTTGGTGAAGACATTATCAAGGACATTTTGGCTGAATGATTGTAAACGAAGATGTTGTTTAGCGTTTTTGAAAAACTGTTATTCCAGTGCTGATTTAATTTAAAACACTCATGGAAGGTTATCCTTCAGACATCTTTTCACAGACTCAAAATATTTCTCTCAAGGACATCAAACCCCTCTATAAGAATAATTTAAAGTAAGTCATTATAGTTTGACTGGCTTTGGCTCGCTCATGACTGACCTTATAGCCAAAAAGCTTTTTTTCTCAATCAGTACTATAAAGTGAGATGTTTTATGGTGTTGATGAACTATTGTAATGTTTAAATTCTTTCACAGCAGTACAGCTATAGCTTATAGGAATTCAAGGATAATAAAAAAAATGAACGATGAATGCTGCCATGTGACCTTAAATCTGTTTATGGAGTCTTTATATTTAAAGCAGAGACAGTCTGTCTGATAAACCATGATCATTTAATTTCAGGAGAGATGTAACAGCGGACATCTTTATCTTTTTATCTGATCACTTGAAGAGACATGGTCAGCGATGATAACTGTGCAGGCTTTTTTACGCCTGGGCGGTACAACCAGTTATATTCTTTTTACCACTATTCCACTACATGTCCCTTCTCCCCCTGGCCACACATGCCCTCCTGTTTGCCCCTCCATGGTCAGTGCGACCCACAGTCATCTGGCAACAGAACTCAGATCTGCAGTATCATCCAATTTTTACAACAAGGAATAAACCCATCATATCTTCTTTTTTTTTTCTGTTTTCAGACATTTCGATGGCCCATTGCCAGCAGGCTTGATGGAAACGAGATGCTGGAGATCCAAGTGTACAACTACAGCAAAGTGTTTTCCAACAGGTAAGGAGTGCCTCTGTTCCCAGCTTGTTCTTAAACCACACTCACTGTACCACACCGAGCAGCATTTCAGAATAAACTGTTTGCTGTTCAACAGTCATCTGCTTTCCTGTCACAGCCTGTGACCAATTGAGTCTGTCACATAGTGCGTGTTTCTCAGATTAAGGAGAATAAGCTTGTATTCCCTGAGAGCTTGTTCTAAATTGGCTCAATTGTTCTAACAGACTGCAAACCACAAAGCTGGAGGTAATGAAACCGCATTAGATGCTCGGTAATAGGCACATTTGTCCCTTTAAACTCTCCAGACAATCAGATCATGTAAAACAAACAGGGTGAAACTCGATCCACATGTTAAATGTGCCAAAGCTGTAATAATTGCAGTGTTTAAATTACACTGGCTTTACAAGTTTAAAAAAATCTTGCTGTCAGGGTTATTATAATTTAAGTGAAACAGATTGAAAGCTAAGGAGGATTTATTTAAATTATGAACAATTTATAGCTCTTATATTAACGATCAATGTGCTCTTGAGCATGCACTGATACTCCGATCTTCCTCAAGCACCCTACTTAGCACCCCACTTGTAAGGAGTCACTTGTGATGAGGCCATGTGGAAGCTAGTAAATTATTTTCCCTCTACTCTCTCTTTTTTGTATCTCCTCATCTCCTTTGAGGAGTATTTAGCCCTTCATGCTTTCAGTTTGATGTGACCCTGACTGAAAAAACAACAACCCTGAGCCTGGCTGTGCCTTTCTGTCTCTGATGTCTGAAACAAATCCAATCACATCGTTACAGCTGCTGATTTTAAATGGAAAACTGGTTGATGTGTCCAGACTGGAGACACATTATGTCACCCACGCGCCCATTAAGGCCTAATATGCTTGTGTCTGTGTGTATGTGGGTGTTAATATGTTTTATGTATAGTGTGTGTCTTTGTCTTTTATCTGTTTGACCTCTCTCCCATGTGTGGATGCAGTTGTTGGTGAAAGAGTGTATTGCAGATGGTGACACATTCAATTGCAATGAAAAGTCACAGCTAAAAGCTGGGGACAGGTGTGCAGACAGATGTTATATCAGTTTTACTTCAAGGCCGGCCTCACTGTCACCGTGATTTTCTGGTGTCACTCTGTGGGAGAGGGACAGAAACAGGACAAGAGTTTCACTGCCACCTTCTGTCAGCTCAGTGCTTTTAACAAGCAGAAGGGCTTTTGTTTTGTTAATGTTAAATAACGAAACAACTATTGCACTGACTGAGATTAACCACTTAAAAATGTAGGAAATTCTCTTACTTCAACTAAGGTTAATTTTTGTTCACAAAATATTTAAACAGTCTATCTATTCTATTACCTGAATTGCCACAGAAATTCATGGTTCCCAGATGATGCGTCTTCAGATCATTGGAAATTTCCTCACTTTTCATCTTGTTAACAAATAAATAATGAATTATTTAGTGAAATAGCCACTCACAGCTAATCCATTAATTGGAATTAAAGTACAGCCGCTGATGCTACCCGATGGATGAATAAATGAGATCCACTATGAGATTCACTCGGGACTTTCTGTGAAATATCTCAACAGCTATTGGTTTGATTAAAACAAATGTTTATGTCCCCCTGAGGATGACCTGCACCCCTTTGACAGGTCAGAATTTAAAACATGTCCAATGCTTTAGTTTATCATGAAATATCTGACTAATTCTGTTCTTATCTCGATAAGATGAACCTTGAGTTTAATGATAATTGGAAAATGTTTGTATGCTAACTACAGTAAGACACACAGGAAGTTGACAGCCCATTCTGAATCTTCTTTACAAAGCTGTAACTGGGGATGTGTGGCTTTTTTTTAAAATCAGCTGTCAAAAAGTTGCAGAGCTTTTTAACAATGGGGAAACTGGAAGCTGTCAACTGTATATATGTAAATAACATTGCAGTTGTATCCTCATATATTATGGATTCCACTTTTAGGGATTTATAGAGAAAATAAGCACACAAACAAAAGAGGAAACTAAATGCATTTAATGAGAAAAGCTGTAACCTCTCATTGCTTTATAACACTGTAGGCTCAAATATGTTCACTTGCATGCAAAGACACTCACACGGACACAGCCAAACACACAAACACAAAGCAGCACACATTTAAGTGAGTAAATAATTCAAGGGGAGTCATAGGCTTGTTTTTATTATATGTTCCCCCTCGGGGAATATGCTTCATACTGAGCTGTGGAGTGTACTGCAACACAAGTGCGATCACTTACACACCAAAGAGGAAGTTAAACGACTGTATGATCCAACTTGAGGTCAGTGACCCACAAAGGGGTCCTTGGAGTGGATTTGGAATTTCAAGTGTTTTTTAAATATACTTTGCAGCAAGCTCAGAGCAAGATACACATCTCATCGTATCCCAACTGACGATATTTCTTGTTCAGATGCATCAAATGTTGTCAACAAGGCAGTTATGACATACTATCACATTTGTTTTTTGCTACTGTGAGACAAGACACACCGTTGTTAGGAGGTGTTGTTGGCTCTCAGGTCTGATGGGAAATATTCCGAATATACTTTGCAGCAAGCTCAGAGCAAGATACACATCTCATCATGTCCCAACTGACGATATTTCTTGTTCAGATGCATCAAATGTTGTCAACAAGGCAGTTATGACATACTATCACATTTGTTTTTTGCTACTGTGAGACAAGACACACCGTTGTTAGGAGGTGTTGTTGGCTCTCAGGTCTGATGGGAAATATTCCGACTGGAAAATGGTAAAAATCCTATTTCTTCACACCACCAAAGAAGAGGCATTGAATCAAGAATTATGATTTCAAATTGTAATTTTAAATTGGATGTTGAACTCATAGATCTTTTCTAGTCTTCTTAATTCTCAGACAGCTCCCACATTCACACCACATTCACACACTGATGGCCGTGGCTGCTACGTAAAGTGCCCAACGGCCCATCAGTACTATTCCAGTCATATGCATCCACATGCTGCCTGGAGTAATTTGGGGTTGGTGTCTTGCCCAAGGACACTTCGACATCTGACCACAGGAGCTGGGGATCCAACCACAAACCCTGCAGCAGCTTACCCTACCACTGAGCCACAGGCTGTGGAATATGATCACGGATTTAAGAATCTAAAATTGAAAGTTGGGAGAAAAGTTCAGATAAATGTATGTTTCTTAAAGACTTTAAAAATAAGGAACTGTCAGCTCAGTCATCTCTGGAACATGGTTGACGTCACCCATGGTATGCAGATGCAGCTATAGGGTACAGCTGGCGGTCTGCAAAGTTATTATAAAAGCATGTTTGGGGCTGGGGAGTCAGTTATTGTGGGTTTTATTTTTTTAACGTTTGTGTCATGTTTAATTTCATTAAAAACGTAATTTGTGAAATTGCAAAGAACATCCTGCAGCTGTTCTTTCAATGATGTGGTGTTGTATGAGATGAATGACGATGAGGTGTTGACGCTGCAGCTTGCTGATTCTTTGTCCACCCTTCTGCAAAACCTACTATTAAACAAGGCAAGAATGAATTTCATTCTGATTGTTTGTGGTATTATCTTGTCAGTCTTGAATACTGAAAAAGTGTTTGTTCTGACCTTGCTCTGCCGGCAGAATCAACAATATATCAATCAGAAATACAAAATACAGCATACTACAAAAATAGCATGAAACTCAGTAACACTTTTGACCTAGTTTGCTTTTCAGAAATAAAGACATAAAGTTTCAATACATTGGATTATTTTCCATTTTATCTTTAAACTGGATTTGGTGTCGATAAGACGGGTTTGCAATTCATGCCTCTGCTAGAATTGATCTCCTTCTCTCTTCTGCTGACTTCGTCTCAAAAATGAAACCCCTTTTATTTCTTTCATGACGTTTAGTTTATTTATACAGTTTTTATTAGTAGCAGCAGGACTCAGACTGGAAAAAAATGGCTTTTTCTTACTTATAAAGAACATGCCCCCTTCACATACATGACCACACCACTCAATCATTTATTGCTTAGTCTGAAAATGAAAGCCAGCAAACATAAACCTGCTACCAGGTTGAATTTTATCATGGCTTTCTCATGCCTAAAAATAGGAATGAACAGCACAGTTTATTTGAGCAGTGGTCCCATAATACCCAGTAGTCCATCCTCCACTCTCACCCACACTGAGCTATCACAAAAAAAACTATTGGAAGAATTTCATTGAATTCTCTCTGTAAAGGATTCAGGGTTCCCAGAGCAACATTCTGTGTGTTTGGTATTTTACATTTCCATCTTTAGTGCCACCTACAGGTAAAAGTAGCCACATAGTCCTGTAATTGTCTCAACATTTACTAGATGGATTAACACAAAGTCTTACACTGACATTCATGAGTTCGCTGATTATGTATCTTTTTGCCTGAGTTTCCTTTAATGTCACTATGAGCTTCAAATGTGTGGTGGTTGGAGACAAGTCTGTGACTACTAAACATGTTGACATTAAATTGCCCCAAGAACTGCAAATATAATGACATTCCTATCAGAGTTATGTTGTGTTAAATTGTAGGATATTGTGAGCATGCTAACAAACTAAAGCTGCAATATGATCATGGTAAAATTATACTTCAGTAGAATCAACATGCTTTAGCTTGTAGAACTGCTGTGCCCCTATCACAGAGCAGCTACAGCTTGGATTATGTGTTTGTGTATATTTTTTTTAAAAGACAGAGAGAAAGACTGGAGGATTGAGTACTTCAATGTGCATCACACTTTTTGTAGGGCAGCACTTGGCGGAGGCTTCTCCGAATCACACACAGTCACACAGCTGTCATCGGTAACATTTCCATTTCACACTGTCCTCTTGCTGAGTTACAAGCAGCTATGGTGGATTACTGAAACCCTGAGGACAACTTTGTTTGACTTGAAATAATGTTTTACATTTTAAAGTTGTGTTCTGCTCCTCAAATTCACCTGAGTCAGAGATTTTCGTCTCAGTCATGCAACCCATTTACAAAAATAAATTTAAAGCTCACAAAGAAGAAGAAAGAAGAGGGAAAGAAGCTCTGAATTATGGAGCAGATAGAAAGTAAATTGTTTGCAGAACGTCAATCAATAATGAATGCCGCCTTTTGAAGTGTTAAATGTAAGCCTGAATATGATATGCCCTGGTCAACTCAATTATTCAGTACTTGTACACACGTTACAATGGCTTAAGGGAAATGACAGAACATTTTCTCTTCTAAGTAGTCCTGAACACATTGATCACCAGTGTCTGGGGAAGAAGGTAATGGATTATTCTCTGTGGTGGGTTAGTAGTCTTGCAGATATTGATCAGAGGCGAAGGAGTTAAAAGTAATCCTCTAAGAAAGCCACTGCTATCCTTACCGACTTTTATTCTTGAGTCGCGTCAAGCCTGTGAAGTTTAGCAAAGAGCAATCCAGCTCCCTGCTGCCTCACCTACATAGAGAAAGCATCTGCCAGCGCCTGAGGGGAGGGAGATCTCTTAGAGTCTAACTCTACTTCATCATTAAGTTATAAAGCTCTGCTGACAAATGTAGCCTCAATTTTTACTGCAAGTTGAATCATCAACACCACCTCCAGAGAATTGAAAAAGTGTCGATGAGGACGCAGATAGAGAGAAAGAGAGACATATTAGAAAAGGCCTTTGCTCAAGAAAATGTCTCAAAATTACGTCACTGAGAGAAAAGCCCAAAAGCGATCCACAAATGCAGAATCCACACACAAAGTCAAGCATATTTATTTTCAATTCTCAAAAATATATTAACAAATACACATTTATTTATACAAATTAGTTTATTAATTTGTATGTCACATTTTTATATTTGTATATTTGTAAATTTATGCCTATTTATATCATTTCGATATGTATAAATCTTTTTGAGACAGTTCTATCTCCATAGTTTTGTTTGCTGCATATGTTACGGCTGTATGTTGCCCTGTGTCCCTTCTCCCCTTCTGTTGTCTCCAGCCCAGGTGAAGCTACTAATTGCACAACGAGGTACACCTGGCCTCAGTGCTTAAAAGGCCGGTGCTGGCTGCAGAAAGAGAGGCATTTTGAGTTGGGACTGCTGTGCTGCTCAGTCAGGGATTGTCTTTTGTTTCTCTTTTGATCTTTGTTATCATTTAGTGTGTCATATTGTAATAAATCCCTTTGTTTTGACTTTTGTCAAGGTGGTTAGTGTCTTTTAATGGGTCAATGTATGGTTTGCTGTTAGCCCCATAGGGCCGCCTTATGGTGGGGCGTAACACATAAACTAACAAATGAAGAAGGGATACTGCTGGCCTACTTTTTTCACTTTCTATGTATGTTTAATACATGCAAAAATAAACCCCTTTTAGGTATGACGATGTTTGAGAACGTCCCAGTAGGCAGTTCTCAGGTATATTTTTTTTTCAAAAAAGTTTAGTCTGAAAATGTTTATTGGATTGGAAACTTAAATTGGAACGATGTACTGGCAACCAGTTCAGGACGAATATGGATTAGCAGCAGGCAGTGCGGGCAGTGGAGTTCAGTTATTCTACTTTAATGATTAGATCCCTGTTCCCAGCAGTGAACCATTTGGAACAATTTTCAAACTATCAGTTGCAGTAAGAAACGCTGAGGATTAGAAATCCTCTGTACAATTAATCTAGGCAGAGTGAACGAATAACAGCAGGTGATAACCAGCAGAGACTCTATTAGCTCACTGCTTAATGAGCCTTTGTTGTTCTCTTGTGTATTTAAATTTGATAAGATAGTATTTGTTGTCTTTTCATGCTGAGTTGCAGATGTGCTTGTGCATGAGCATAGATGGTTTTATGTACTGTACTCAGTCATTCTCAACTGTCTGTCAATATCAGAAGTCTGGTTGAGAAGCTTGCATTGTTTCCTGCAATCCCTGTGGACCACTTCTGTCTGTATGTGTGTGTGTGCATGTTCTTCTTGGGGAAAGTGTGTGTCTGTGCAAAGTGGTAACCTATTGATTTGTTTTTCTCATTGTATGATATAATCTCTCCTTCTGAACTCGTATTTAGTCAAAGGATTTCATGTCTGTTCTAAGAACAGTATTCCTGTTATCTTATTATCTGAATTTCCTTTAAGTCAGGTGTGTTAAAATAAAAAAAAACACCAATGTACACGCTGTCCACATGTCACTAAGGAGGTAGTTGTCATTTCAGTAGAAATGGCATATGCCTGTGGCTCACTGTGGGCTGTGCTAGAAGGTATTTATCTTTGTGAGACTGATTGCTCTGCTAACAACACAATGTTTTGGGGGCGACTGTAAATTATTCACCAGCTTTAATTGGCCAGCTGAATGGGAACTCTACTGGGTTTCTTCCCACCATTCTGTCCCACGAAGGATTCTTGAGCGAGATATAAATAAACTCTAATGTCTAATGATCTCATAATCAACAACAGCAATTAAATCTCCTCTATTTTGTTGTGTTTCCAACTGTGAAAGAGTTCCCTCAACGTAAACAAACCATTCATTTAAAATCCCTTATATTTACGAAACCAATCAAAGTCTTTCTATGTGATGTTATAGGACCACTGAACTCAGTGATGCATAAAGAAGGCAAAAAGGATAATCAGAGACCTCAAACAACCAGGCATCAAACTGTTCTGCCTGCTAGTTCAAAGTCATTTGACAACTTATGAAATGTGTACAATTGCAAAGTCATTTGAGGGTTATAAATAAATATATTGGGCATGGGGGGCTGGAGCTGTAGCTTGGTTTATACTGTATACTGTCATAATGCTCTGCTAACCAAAAGTAAACAAGCAGCATGGAAGGATGGCGGAGCAATTTTGCTCTGTTTTATTGTAGAGAATTGCGATAACATTTTACGTACAGTATACTGTGTCATTTTAAATTAGCATAAAACCACTTGACTGTAGCTGTGTATAACCATCACAGGCATGTGGACTTTAACCTGCAAGGCGGACCAAAGGCTGGTAGTGTTTGCGCTGCTAATGTTTGCCACACTCATTAAAACAATTTGAGGTTGTTTCCCCGCAGACACATGATCCAGTGTTGAGCTGTGTCTAAAAGAAATGTGCAAATTTTTGTGTGTTGTGTTAAGTGTTTTCTTAACTTTAGACTAATCAACTCGTTTAAATTTGTATCAAATCAACAGAGAATTATTTTGCTACAAACATTCCAATTAATAAACCCCCCTGTAGGAGGGACTTTGGCTGGTGATTGGCAAACATCGTATCATTTCAGTGGATCTTGCGACACTTACATTTCTTTAATAATGTCGCCTACATCTGACTAGTCTTTTCAAGGCAAGGTTTGAAACAAAAAAGAAAGAAATGCAAAAGTATGCTGGGTATGTTGCCATTTTCTGTTAGTGTGTTTGGTGAATGCGTGGAGTTTGAGTCTGCTACCATTATGTTACCTGTCCTTGGGGGCATTGATAAGAGCTAAAGAGAAGTGGTTGAGACTTGCTGCTGGCAGTGGCTACTGAAATGTGTTGAGAGCTTTGGAGATTTAGCTCTCTGATTTCTTTCTGGAGTCTTTGACCTCAGCGCTGACTCCTTTGCTGCTAATACAACCGTATGAAGTAACACACCATAACCAGCGGCTGAAAGCAGCTAAAGCTATTGAGTGGAGAGTTGATCCTCAGACACTCAGACACTAGACACTTTGTCAATATTAGCAACTGTCATGTTACAGGGACTCTTTTGATTAAGTTTTTATATGTGAATATCTTTTGATATGCTTGGATGTTCCATAAAAAGTGTTGTACTTACATGTATTGCCCTTTTCAAACATGTTTTTTAGATGATAAACAACATGAACAATCAAAGACAGCTAAGTGTAGGTACAAGGACAAACAACATGTGTGTGTGTGTGTGTGTGTGTGTGTGTGTGTGATTAAACTGCCATCTACTTCCTTTAAATTGCTTTAAGGAGGGGCATACTGTAGTGAGCAGGCGACAAAGGCAACGAGACACTTTCTCAATATCTGTTACGGCACATAGCCATCAGCAGTCTTCACACAGCAGTCTATTCATGACTCTTTGACTGATACTCACTCACTGCACACTGTGAGACAGAGTGGGGGAGAACAGATGCTCACAGTGAATGAAAAAAAGTGCAACTTGTCAGTATGTGTTTGTGTCACAGAAAAAAAGTAGTGTGTGTGACAATGAGTAAAATGTCAACAGACTGACATGCATGGGTGGCAGAGGAGAAACAAAACGCCACGTACTGATGTAATGCTGTGTATTGATATAACTGGACAATAAGAGGATCTTTGTATGTGTTTGCTTCCTGCAGACTGGTGGGGACCTTCTCCATGGTACTTCAGAAGGTGGCTGAGGAGGGACACCTGGAGCTCACGGACACACTCATCGATGATAACAACACGTCAATAAAGGTGAAGCTGAATGCTGCTCTCTTGTTGGATTGCCAGCTATTTACAGACCAGAAAAATTTAAAACAACGTACTGCTAAAACTTTCATATCATATATCACACTCCCTGTGAACCAGTGGGGAATATAGCCCAAACCTGATAGCAATAGGGTACTGTTGTTCTTTTAGCTTACACAAAATTGGGACTACAACGGAACTGACTGATGCTAATTTGTGAGCATAATTAATGTGATGGATAAGGGGTTTGTGTTCAAATTAGAAAGAAATGAAATTGTTTTTTTTTTTAAGTTTAAGCTCGAGTTTTCAATGTCGTATAGATTAAACAGTGATTCAACCATTACAGTGTTGCAATGCTATGTAACCATGAAGCTTTGTTGCTATATACCTGCTAGATTTTATTTAGGTATTTTTTTGTGAGGATTTTCAGCTTGATGACTTAATAGACAGATGATATGTAAATGTTTCTTTTACAGGTTGTTGCATTGCTCTGTGGTTGCCGAAAAATAGTTTCATGCAAATGTTAATACAGCTGCAAGTTGCGTGTTGCCCAGAGATCGTATTTGATAGCTCAAACGTTGTCTTTGAATCCTCAGTGAATCCATGAGAACAAACTTTGGCTTCATAGAAAGAAAGTGTTCAAATTTTGAGTGGAAGTCAAAAGTTTTGTAGAACAACAAAAAAGGTCAGAATGATGCACAAGAAACACGGAGTGTGGAGTTTGTAATGTCCATAAAACCTTAATGAACGAGCTAGAACAAGATAATAAAACATATTTGTGTGAGAAAGGGTTTGAAATGTGCGTTTTTAACCTTCGGGCTTATTGAAGGAAATTGAGGTGTGGGGGGGGGTACCTTTCTGCAGTAGAACTGAAATTAATCTTTCTAGACAGCAAAATGTATTTTGTATAGAGCAACAATAAATAGAGAAATCAATCTACTCAGGCACCTGCAGCAATGACAATAAGAGACGTACCAGCTATCATCTGGCCTTTAAAAGCAATGCTGTTTAAAACCTGTACAACTACAAGGACGTGACAGACATACAACTGTCTCTTAGCAACATCAGCACCCTAATCATCAGCACATTAGGACCATGTGAAATTGAAAGCATAGTGGAATAGTAAGTATGAGTGGGAACTTCTGGAGGTTCTTCAGCACCATGGGGTGCAGAATCATGTCAGTAGAGCTGGGAGTGCTGATTTGATGTCTCGAAGATGACACACAGCTTACTGGTGCTTTAAGGCTTACACACACACACACACACACTTGAACTCACACACTGACATATGTGCTGTCGGACTCACATGGACATACTTGAAATTAAGAGAATTTCAGTACAGTACATCCCTGCAGGAAGAAATGGCTGAAACTAAATCCGACATCACCTGAGAGCAAGACTTTTACTTACAACTGCACTAGTGTGGTTGCCATAGTGACAAATCCAACTCCTTGTGGACTACACTAACTTGCCTTGCAGGGATTTGAAGAAGACAGAGAGAGAGAGAGAGAGAGAGAGAGAGCTGAAGGGAGGAAGGGTTGAATGAGAGCCCTGTGTGTATTTTCTCCTCATCTGTCTTTGTCAGTAGAATAAATTGGATATCTAGTAATAAAGATGAGATCAATGCCAGGAGGATAATATTTGTCCAAACACAAGTCTCCAGAATACACCGAAGACAAACTGCAGTGTCACTGTTGTTTCTGGTCTGGATTAAACCAACACCCACTGTCAACCTGAGATCCCCAGGCAAATACCAAGCAGAGGGGACGATTTATCCAACTGTGAAGAGAATGTTACTCACTTAAGGAGCTTTTTCTAAACATTATTAAATTACCGCAGGTAGTCTATTTCTTATAAATGTGTTCAAATGTCAGTACAAAGGAATTACAGATTTCATACATAAGCATGTGCTCTACATTAACCAATTATAGGGGATATAATTCTGTTTTTAGATGTGCCAACGTCCCTCTACCAGCTATAAAACACATTTACTCAAATACAGAGAAAACAAACTCCTCAAAGTCACCGTTAACGCATAACGCCGATGATAAAAACAACAAATAAGGCACAAATTTAAATAAATAAACAGTTATTTCACAAATACTAAATGTGCGCTGTGATACTGATGTGCTTTGAGCTTTACTACCAGCAGGCTAAAGTACCAGTGACAATGCTATCATGCTAATATTCACAATGTCTCCCTAGTTTATGATTCTATCCAGAGACAGGACTCTCTCTAATAAAGCATAAAAAATGTTGATCCATTCAGAAATAATTATCTTTTTGACAGTGTAAAGGTTTATTCATTTTCGTCATTTGCATCTGCTTTTGTTCCTTGTTTAAGACCAGTGTTACCATAGAGATCAGATACCAGTCCATGGATGGAACAGTGGGAGTATGGAGTGACGGAGAGTTCCTGGATGTTCCTGATGACCGTGACGGGATGTTTGCCTTTGAAACAGACAGCCTACTGTCAGGACAGAGCCACGGATCAGGAACTTCTCCCGGAAGATCCCTACAGGGATCCATACCTACATTCAGGAAGTGAGTCAAACATACAATCTGTCACAATATCTCCAAGAAAAATCCAGCAAACATCAGTGGATTGAGCTGTGAACTATTACTGATTTTGTGTTGTTAACGCAAATGTTAGTAAGAGATTGTTTACAGTAACAGTATGACTGGGGCACATGAATGAAAAAAAGATCTTTGGATGTGTTTAAGTTGTCACATGGATCCATTATTCACATCCTGATGAGACTCCATACTGCTATACGTTGCTGTAAGATTTATCCTAAGTCAATCTAAAGCCTGCAACATGATGTTGAATCAGAGGACAGAGATGATCTGTAAACAGGTTGGTGTGTGAAGGGAGCTTCAAGTTATGTGAAAAATAACATGTATCCCAGAAGTTTTTATTTGATACTTGCTATAAAACAGCAACGTGTTTTTTAGTATATGTTCTCATAGTTTTCCCATCAGACCGACTTTGATTCGTCAGATGAACTCAAACTTCAGTAGATATTCACTATTTGAACAGATTTCTCTAGAGGTGTTTGGGAAAACCTCTTTTATTTAAGTTAATTTATAAAACACTTTGTGGCTCCAGAGGGAGCAGCCACTCTGTGATGTCTTTGTCGGAATCCTTCTTATTCAGACATGTTGACTTAATGGATTGACATTATCATCTTTTATATGTTGTACAAAGAAACACACTGGATTGCTACATTTTAAAAAAAATGAATTCATTTCTAGGCTGTCATTATTATATACATTTTATTAGACTGCTGTTCGAAAAGCTCCAGCAACACTTGTATTATGAAGATGAACTGTATAACCTTTGTTAGACCCTTTCACTCTTCATGCACCTTGGTAGTTAGTGAAGTTGGGCCAGAAAATCCCTCTCTGCCTCTTCATTATTGTATACACTGATGTACTGTGGGTAGTGATGTGAAATGGTTGCTTTGTTCTTCTTCCCTACTTGAGTGTCGTCCGTTTAGTTATTTACCATTTAAATCCAAGCACAAAATGTAGACATCTAGTGCTTTTCTTTGTACAACATACATAATACAAAAAACAATGTTAATCCAATAAGGTCAACATGTCTTTATATGTGGGGTCACTTTAAAAAAAAATGCCTCAGGATTTCAGTTTAGTTCGGGGCAGGAGAGTACCAGTATAAAAGAAAAGAAAAGAAAAACTGTTGAGATTAAACCTTGTTGTCACTTACAATAACATTCACATTTGGATTGTTAGTGATGCATCATATCTGTACGTAAGTAATAATAGACAGGTAATCCCCGGCTGTAATAGGTTCTATTGATTTAGTGTGAACAAACTGTTTGACCCTCTCCCTCTCAGGCCTTCTTTTGCAGTTTGCTTGTTGTGCTTTTGCTGAATACTATGTGAAATAATCTGTGGGTGGTATTGATTTCCACTGAGACGACTGTAATGCCAGACCCTGAAGTTCATATCATACTGCATGTTAAATAAGTGTGTGAAAAGTTGTTTTAGTGCCAGAATTAATGCCGCTGTGTACATGTTTTGGTTCTAATCGTTGATATTGAAGTCCTAGGTTTGGCCTGTTTTACTGCATGAAATTACAAAACTGTTCAAGGTCTGCCGACAAGACACTCGATACAGCCGGAGGAAAACGAGAAAAGTTGACTAATCTAAGTTTTACAGCATCCCACGGGGGTTATGTAACAGATACAGTATTTGGATTTGGTCGGCAGAGAAAAAAGTATGCTATGTTGTGGAGAAATACTGTAAAAATGTTCAATAAGAGTGGGGCAGAGTAGTTACCAAACTCCCCAAGCTGAAAAGTTATATTGAGCAGTCTGTGTGCCTGATTTTCATTCTCCATCTTGAAAACATTCATTATCATTTCCTCACCTTTTTTCAGGTGTGCAATCCCCTGTCCATGCTGAACCTGTCGTCTCTCTGCCGCCATTGCAAAGAGCTGTCAGTCAGACTTTTTTAGGGCTGCCTTTGGGCTTTTGTGGAGGGAAAAAAAAGTGAACAAGTTGATGGGAAAAAAAACAACAACTTCACCTTCAACAAATCCACTTGTAATCTGTCCCTTACTGCTGTTGGCCAGACTGATGGGCGTGTGAAAAGGTTTTAATAGCCTTGCCACTTCTCATCCAAACCCTTTAAATCCCCAATAACCAGCTGCTCATTTTATCTCCAGCTGAGTGCTTTTCAGAATTCAACATATTGGAGATGTCTTATTGTGGCCTGAATTCTGCCAAACCAGTGTTAAATGTTCTTTTTACGCGAATGAAGCATTAATGAGATTATAATCAGGGTTGACTCTCTCTTCTGCTCCAGGGAAGATGAGGAGAAGGATGAGAAAAATAGCAACAGAACGTCATAAACAGTTTAGCCTGTAGGTATTTTTCTGATGCCCTTTCCGTTTGTCTGATTTTGCTACCTTTGTGTTTGTGGTTTTGTATGCCTCTATAACCTCTTTCAGATGCAATTCTCCAAAGCAGTGTCCCCCTGTTAATAATCATCCCTCTCTAAATTAAACACACTTGACAACCTCATGGGGAGCGATGCGTCCCTCTCGGGTAATATGGTAATAGCTAAAAGAAATTGAAAGGGTTGTCAACCACTGTCAAAAGTTGTTCTGAGACGTAACACTGAAAGCTTTTTGAGGAGACATAGTGCATTCCTAAAACTCTTGAGAAACATGCAGCGCAACGTCTGCGGCAATGGATAGTTCCCATGCAATATCATAACTGCTCTGGGTTTCCTTATGAATACAGAGTATAGAGAAGAACAAACAGAAGAACTGTCACACATAGAGCTCAGCCCACCACTGTCAATTGCTGTTATATCACCTCCTGCTGTAAGGTCATGTATGCTGCTACCAGGAGGCTTTGTACTCACCCCAGTTTTCAGTGGGGATTGAATTTCATTATAACTTCCCAGTATGACTGCAGCAGAGTGTAGGTGGCTGGTTAAGGCATATTGGTTCCTCCTTCTGCCTTGAATTAGGTGAAATTGCATCGAGGTTGACGGTCCCACTGCTACCACCGCGTCATTCTGCGGCCTCTGCCTCTCTCCTCATCATCTCCGGGGCCTTCAGGATGATTTATAGCAGCAACCATGAAACATTTTGTGTTATCTGCAGCACCACAATAAATGGGCTTTGCAGGGGTTTTTGTTATTCCTGATAAATAAATCACCTTCTGCATGTTTTTACTGCCAGTGATGCAGATCTCCTGAATAGTGCATGTAGAGAAGCCGGGGCATGCAGACAATGGATTTAAGGCTCCAATTGTTATGATGACAATGATCTTTTGACATCAAATACTCGCTAAAAGAAAAAGAAAAATTAATTAGCTGAAACAGGCTTATAATTTGGAGTATGATCATATGCTATAGGCTAATGCAACAGGGTTTCTTTTCTGCACTCAAACATTGCTGTAAATAATCATTGTGTTTATGCAGCCTGTTTCAATATGCATGATTCATTTGCACAACATAAAAGCGGCACTCAGGAGACAGTTCAGGCCGAGCACAGCGCCAGTAAAAAAAGATAATATACTGAAACAAGCGTTGATTTATTTATGATGTTTTCTTTTGCCAGGTATGTGGTTCATTTGTCTATCAAAGTGAATTGACGTGTCTTCAAAGTCTTCTCTGGCATCTGACATGGTAATGATGATGTATCATCAAACAGCGCTCTGTTGCTGGTGCTGTGTAGTCTTTAATCTCAGTTGTCTTGATCTCAGTGGGTTCTGCACGCTGAAGCAATGACTCCCTGTGGAACAATCATAACAGAAACAAATCATCCGTATACAGTCTATTAATGTGAATTATTGATTGTATACCTTTACTAACATTTAGATGGTCAAAATCTGATCAAAATCCTGCCCACTCAGCTGTTGTCTGGACTCTGTGGGCTCGTTTAGAAAAGATCTTCTGAGCTCACTAGGTTTTGTTGCAGCTGATATTCATCACTTAATTAGTGTTTCCTTACATACTGATGCTGTCAAACTTTCCATACGGCAATTATTTATGAAACACTGAAATATTTTCATATTTTGAACTTTGCTGTACACTTTTTTCAATTCTGATATAAAACTGAGCATTTTAGGGCTCTAATGGGGATTCCTTAGATTTTTGGGGCCAGCCTTAAGTGGACACTCGGGGAATACTCAGCAGTTTTTTACACTTATGCATTCATTTTTCAACACCAGAGGTTGCAACGTGGTATTTTGATGTTAAAGCCAGATTTTAGGTACTATATCTTGCTAGCCAAGAAAATGTTTTCTCTGTGAGTCGACTTGTGTTTTACATGGAACCTTGAATATGCACTTTATAACTATATAAACCTTATTGTCATTAAAGGATAAAGAAAATCATTTTTGTCTTTGAACAAAATGTAATCACACAAGTTACAGTACATGAAGAGGACACTTAAGTAAAGAAGCAGTGCTCACTTTTGTATTAATTTTTTGCGCTATTGTCCAAATTAGACAATATTTTTTATTCCAAAATGAATATGTTCTGCTGCTAGGATAATAGAAGCTTTATTTTCAAAGTTTTTACACTTGAATATATTATTATACTTTTGGATGAGGATTAATGCTGTGTTTGACTTAATAAAGCGAGGATAGTCCATTCATTTCAGAAGCATTATTTTATATCGAACCACCATATAAGGAGTGGTCTAAAAGTAAATCACAAACAGTTTGGGCACATATACAAGGACTGTGACTGTGTGATAATACTCTGGTATTATATCCCTCTCAGTGCTTATGGATACAAGTTGGGGCTTCTGTAATGAAGCAGTAACTTTATTTGTCATATCACACCTGGCATTTGATTCGTTGAGGAATCTAAAGAGGGTTGTAGAGCAGACACCTCACAAGCCGACAGTAGCTTCACTGCGAGGAGATGATGTGAACCTGAACACAAATCAAACTGTGCAGGCAACAACATAGCAGTCAGCTGCAACAAATCACACATGCAGCTACAATTTAAGAAGGAGGGCATGGTGATGAAGGAAGCACTACAGAATCTAACAG